GATTCCTCAGCACCACATAAGCAAAAAGAAAAAAGCTGGAAGTGGTGCTGTGGCTCAAGTGATAGAGCACTAGCTTTGAGCTGAAGAGCTGGGAGACAGCGCCCAGGCCCAGAGTTCAGGCCCCACGACCAGACCAAAAAAAAAAGCTCATGGACAGCACCCAGGCCCTGAGTTCAAGCCCCAAGACTGACACAAAATAAAAACCAAAATAAGTATCAATGTATATGCCCGTTTCTGTAGTTTCATGTTTATATTTCTAATATAATTTTTTGAAATTAAATGGTGGTGGGGTTCAAATCCTGGGCCTTGTGCAAGTTGGACAAGTGCTTTAATACTGAGCTACATCCTCAGCCCTAATTTCTCTATTTTAACTATCCAAAATGGATGGAAAAAAATCTCCAATTTTATGCTTATCTGCATTAGGCACCTTTGTAAAGGCACCTTTGCCTCCTTTACTTTTTTGTTATTTTTATTTTTTGAAACAGGATCTCACCATATAGCCCAGACTAGCCTAAAATTCACAATCCTCGTTTAAACTTCCTGTGGGTTGGATTACAGGTATGCACCACATAGACTGAATGGCTGCTTTACTTTTCAGGTCTCATACAATTTTATCTTTGCTTCATCCTTCTCCTCCAATTGATTACATTTTTCTCTGTTCTTCCCCTCACCATCTTCTAGAAGCAAGAGCCAGTTGCCTGGAGAATGTTTACCTCTTCCTCCTCAACCCACCTCCACTTCCCTAGGTAACATCAGACACTGGATCAACCCTCAGAAGGAGTCCATCCATAGCATCCAGGGAGCCATCGGTGAGACTCAAGTGGGTAGATGGGATAGTACAGGAGTCTTTCTGAATGAAAGGAATCAGATATTTAATGTCACTGACTGGTTGGGGAGAGCATGGATTACTGAAGGTCTTGGAAAGTAGTGATTAAGTTGACACCTATCTGACAAATACCAGGGAACATGTTGACCACAGGGCTAGAAAATTAATTCAAATTTTTAGAGTCTTGGGCCCTAGATGACATTTCTGGCAGGGCAGAAGCTTAGAAGTTCCCATCAGTACTCCATATTTCAAATTTTCTCAGCGGTAAGGAGAATCCTCCCAGTACCCATAAATGTATGGGTGATTAAAGAATTCCACGAAGAGAAAAGGATTTGGAATTCCCAGCTCACCCACATTTCTCTCCTCTCCAGTGTCCCCTCACACTGCAGCCACCAATGGAGGTTACTCCCGAAAGAATGATGGTGGCTTCTTCTCTACATAGTGGTGACAAGCTCCTGAACTAATCACAGAACATGCAGACACACACTTCCATTAAATAGGTTTGTTCAAGAAGCAGCATAACCAGTCTGAGTTCTTTCTTGTTTGCTCTTAAAATATGGCATGAAGATTTCCCAACTTCATGTCCTATTGGGGACATTTGCAAAATGAAGTAGTGCTGGAGAAATAGCCCTCAAAGAAGAGTAGAGCCCAGTCTGAAATCTATTCATCATGTCTTTAGCATGTGACAGTGTCAAAAAGCTAAATGAAGCTGGGCACCGGTGGTTCACGCCTGTAATCCTAACTGCTCAGGAGGCTGAGATCTGAGGATTGCAGTTCAAAGCCAGCCCGGGCAGGAAAGTCCGTGAAACTCTTATCTCCAAAATAACCACCAGAGAACTGGAAATGGTGTTGTAGCTCAAGTGGTAGAACGCTAGCCTTGAGCTGAAGAGCTGAGGGATAGCACCCAGGCCCAGAGTTCAAGCCCCATGACCGACAAAAAAAAAAGCTAAATGAATGGACCATAGACATTTCTTGCCCAATGCTTCCAGTGCCTGGTTCATAAAAGTTTGCAACAATATTGAGTGGATGGCTTTGTATGATTAGAATACATGGAAATACTTGTGCCCTGCCAAAAGCAGTGCTTTTCTGTCTTAAATCCTTGTCTTTTTGGCTAACTTTGAATTCATGAGCTGACATTATTTATAAAAATAAGTTGGGCTAGGAACATGGCTTAGTGGTAGAGTGCTTGTCTAGCATGAATGAAGCCCTGGGTTTGATTCCTTAGTACTGCATAAAAAATAAATAAAAAATAAAATTTTAAAAAGAGAAAATAAGTCACTCACTGGAACCTGCTGACATAAAAGACTGGATAAGCCAGCAACCATTGGTCTTGCTTATAATTCTAGCTACTCTGGAGGCTGAAATCTGAGGATCAAGGTTCCAAGCTAGCCTGAGACTTACCTCCAATTAATCAGCACAAAGCCAGAAGTAGTGCTGGAGCTGTGGTTCAAGTGGTACACCGCCAGTCTTAAGTAAAAAAGCTGATAGAATGAGGCCCTGAGTTCAAGCCCAAGGACTACTTTTTTTTTTTTTTTTTGGTCGGTCGTGGGGCTTGAACTCTGGGCCTGGGCGCTGTCCCTCAGCTCTTCAGCTCAAAGCGAATGCTCTACCGCTTGAGCCACAGCGACACTTCTGGTTTTCAAGTGGTTTATTGGAGATAAGAATCTTACGGACTTTCCTGCCCAGGCTGGCTTTGAACTGTGATCCTTAGATCTCAGCCTCCTGAGTAGCTAGGATTACAGGCATGAGCCACCAGTGCTCGGCTGCCCAAGGACTACTTTTATGTCAATAGCGAGCTATCTGGGAAGAAATCAAAAGAACAAGAAAATGTAGAAATAAATTTAACCCATAAGATGAAACTGGTCTACACTGAATATATACATGGATAAAAGAAATTGAAAAGCATTCTCTCTCTCTCTCTCTCTCTCTCACACACACACACAGAAACAAACATTGCCCAGGGATTGTTTCATTCTTTTATTTGCTTATTGACTCAGTTTTCTTGATCATTTACTGTTCTGTTCACAAACTGGAAGGATATTGCCAAAATGCACAAAGTAAAACTACAGATTTAATGGCATTTCCTCATAAAATGAGTAACATTCTTCACACAACTCTAAAAAAACTCTTTTAAGATTCAGCCAGGTGCTGGTGGCTCACACCTGTAATCCTAGCTACTCAGAAGGCTGAGATCTGAGGATCATGGTTCAAAGCCAGGCCAGGCGGGAAAGTATGTGAGACTCATCTTAAATTTACCACCAGAAAACCAGAAGTGGCGCTGTGGCCCAAATGGTAGAGCATTCACCTTGACAAAACAAACAACAACAAACCTATAAGAGGGCTGGGAGGGAGGCTCAGTGGTAGAGTGCTTGCCTTGAGCTGAATTGCTAAGCGACAGCGCCCAGCCTCAGGTCAGGCCCCACCAATGAGCAAAAACAAACAAAAAAAACCCTCTAAGGTTCATATGGAATTGCAACATACCCCAATAGCCACAATATTTAGTTAAAACAAAACAAACCAGGAGGCATTATATATACTAGACTTCAAAATATACTATAAGCTAGGTGCCAGTGGCTCACGCCTATAATCCTAGCTACAAAGGAGACTGAGATCTGAGGATCACAGTTCAAAGCCAGCCCAAGCAGAAAAGTCCGTGAGACTCTTATCTCCAATTAACCACTAGAAAACCAGAAGTAGTGCTGTGGCTCAAGTGGTAGAGCGCTCCCCTTGAGCTGAAGAGCACAGGCATAGTGCCCAAGCCCAGAGTTCAAACCCCATGACTGACAAAAAAAAACAAACAAAATAGGGCTGGAAGGTGGCTCAGTGGGAGAGTGCTTGCCTTGTATGCATGAGGCCCTGGGTTCAATTCCTCAGCATCACATAAGCAGAAAAAGCCAGGAGAGTTGCTGTGGCTCAAGTGGTAGAGCCCTAGCCTTGAGCTGAAGGGCTGAGGTACAGCGCCCAGGCCCAGAGTTCAAGCCCCACAACTGACAAAAAAAAAAAAAAAATATATATATATATATATATATATACATGTACATATATACTATAAAATTATAGTAATCAAGACAGATTTTTATTAGCATAAAAATCAGAGACAAACTAATGGAATAAAGAGCCTAAAAATAAACCCACACATCTACAACCAACCTTTAATAAAGATGTTAAGGAAACACCTTAAGGAAAGTGCAGCATAAACACATGGAATAGGAAAAACTGTATATATACATGTATAACAGAAATGAGACTCCATTTTTTGATACACACAAAAACCAACTCAATGTGGATTAAATGCTTAAAAGACCTGCAACTATGAAACCAGAAGAAAGCATGGGAACATACTTCAGGATATTAGAATGGACAGGAATTTAAACACAGACATAGGAAGCAAAAGCAAAAATAGGTAAATTAAAAATTACAAAGCTTGTGCATGAGCCAGACAACAGTAGCTCACATCTGTAGTCCTAGCTACTCAGAAGGGTGAGATCTGAGGATCTGAGAATCATTTTGGTCAAGATCACCCTTTCCACTGTTCTCCCTCATTTCCACCCTCCCATTTCTACCCTCCCTAAGTTCATTTCTTACATAATGTACATTGAATAAGACTGCATTTGTCCACCTTTCCTCCTTCCATTCGTGTTATTCCCAACTAACCAGCAAAAAGCCAGAAGTGGTGCTGTGATTTAAGTGGTAGAGCACCAGCCTTGAGCGAAAAAGCAAATCTAGAGCAAGTTAAACCAGCACCAAATTTAAAAAAAAAAAAAGCTATTACCAGAGGTTGGGGAGAAGAGTGGAGTTTGGAGGACTGTGGAGAGATTGCTCCAACTGTGTTACCAAGTCAGGAGCAATTAAAATGTGCCATTTTATTGCAGTCGGGTGACTAAAGACAACAATAATGTATGTGAAAAACACTAGGATCCTGGCACAGGTGGCTCACACTTGTAATCCTAGCTACCCAGAAATCTGAGATCTGGAGGATTGAGGATTGGGGGGGAAGGAAGCCAGAAGAAAAAAAACCAGCGGCGGGAGCTGGGTTTCCGCACCTCCCAGCGAGAGGGGGGTGGAAGGGCCTCCAATGCCCCGGGCATCTGCTTGCCCAGGCCTCAACAAGCGACCCCCGACGGCTAACGGGCTTCCCGCGGCCAGTGCAAGTGCGGTGGTGGCCGGGGCGGGCTCAGATCAGAATCGCATCGGTAATCAGCAGCGCGGGCCAGGCCCGGCCTCGTCTATCTGATCAATTCATCACTTCTGAGCGCCGCGCCCGAAGGCCCAGGCGGCCCGAGCCGCGGCGCCGCCCCGCCCCGGAGGCCTAGCCGCACAGCGCCCGCCCGGAGGGGGCTTCGCGGAAGGGGGGCCTTTTCATCTCGGGGCGGCCCGGCGGGGCGGAGGGCACGGCCCGATCAAATAAGATCAAGGTGTAGGCGCGGGGAGAGGGGCGGGCGCACGCGCGCTCCCACGCGTCCACTCACACTCGGCACGCACGCACCTTCCACGCACCACCACTCTCACACACACATACACACATACACACACGCACACCAGCCCAGCCACGCTCCCTCCCGCGGAGCGGCGGAAGTCCGCACTGGCTTTTAAGGCCTCCGTCCCAGCCTCGAGGAATTCTGGGAGGAACCGCAGCAGACGGACAGGCCCCTCCCTCACGGCCCGATCATTCCCGGCCGCACGTTGCTGCCCTCGCGTGGCTGGGAGGACCTAGAGAAGGATTGATTTTTTTTTTTTCACCATACATACGGAATGGCAGTTCTTTTGATCTTTGTGTTTACTTGCATAATCTTGCATATTTATAGACTCAATTGTAGTGTTATCTTTAATCCTGACTTTACTTTTATCCGACTTAAATGTCAAAGTATCCAAGTTCAGGATATTTTAAGTTTATAGATGAATGACTCTTCTATCGACACAGTAGTCCTAGGCCATTACTAATTAGAGCATCATTCTATTCTGACTCAAATTCCGCAAGTAAAAAATGGTGATTATTTAAGTAGAATGGCCACTTCTCACATTAGAAAACACAACTTCTCAGCTTTTCAATGAAATAGGTGAGATAAAGCAAAAGGAAGATTAATAGAACATGACATATGAAGTTAATTTGTACTTATGCTAGTAGGTGCAGACATAATTTGTACTAGTCCATCCAGGTACCTAGAATAAACAGTGAATATAGCAACAGAACCCCACTGAGATTTTTTTAGGCTGGTTAGTCTTACCACCTCATTGAACCATTGCATTGCTTGGAACTGATCATGATGAGCAAAGTAAGCCAGACTCAGACAAGTATTACCTTTCACATATGCAATCTAAATGTGGTTTTTTTTGTTGTTATTTTATTTATTTTTGTCGGTCGTGGGGCTTGAACTCTGGGCCTGGGCGCTGTCCCTCAGCTCTTCAGCTCAAGGCGAGCACTCTACCACTTGAGCTACAGCGCCACTTCCAGTTTTCTGGTGGTTTATTGGAGATAGGAGTCTCACAGTCTCTCCTGCCCGGGCTGGCTTTGAACCGCGATCCTCAGATCTCAGCCTCCTGAGTAGCTAGGATTACAGAGAGGGACTACTTGGGAAGAGGAAAGAAACCAGCTAGAGAAGAAAGATGGAAGAAAGTGTGATGAAGGATTAGTATGTTATCTACCTATGTACATGCATGAAAATATTATAATGAAGCCCAATATTTTGTTCAATAATTAGTTTCTCAGTGATAATGGCAGATAACATTTGTAGTTTAATAAAAGTAGTAATAGGTATATTGAATGGTGCTACCTACCTCATTTATTACCCTTCTAAGTTTACTCATATATATGAATAAATATATTCAGCTCCCTCAAAGGAGAAAATTTGACCATAATTTGAACTATAACATACATACAATACTCCTCATAGTGAGTACAATGGTATTCACTAATATGGATTAAAAATTGGACTATCAGCAGAACCCAAGCATTGAACAAAAAATAAATTCATCATGTAACAAAATAGACAAAGACTGTAGGGAAAAAGGCTTTATTCTCAGGGATTTGTGCAGACAATGGTGAATTTAAAAAACTGTATTTCAACTATAAAAAAGCTGACTTCATTACACCCTGGTACATGGTGCTTATGGTAATGCCGGTTTGAATTTGAGGCAATACTGCTATCCTCATATTTCTACCCCTAAAACACTCCTCCAGAGGAACAAGTTATTGTTTTCAGCCAAAAACACCAACCAAAGTAATGCGTTAAGCAAGTTTCTATGTACCTGCTAACATACAGTTAAGAAATGAAATAGGCTGTGTATCTGCTTCTTGCTATAAATTACCTGCACATTGTGCACTTTTTGATACATTCTGGTATTAAAACTTCTCAAAAAATTTAACAACTCAAGAGCTGAGGACAAGGTGACCCAACAAAGAAACTGCAAAAATTGCTTTTAACTAGGACTGTAGAATGAAACTAGTTTAAAATATGAAGCAGCACCAAGCAGTAAACTTAAAAGAGACTTTAGCTCTATTAGAAAACAAGTCATTAAAGCTACAAAATAACAAGTGCAAAACATGCTGAACTTGTTTCCAGGGACTGAGATTCCAATGGCAAACAAGTCCCAAACTCACACCCACAAGGTGTTAATTCTTCCTTCCTGTTCCAATAGATTTCTTTTCTCTCATGCAAAAGATTCTTAGAAATGGCCATGGAAAAAATATGAATAGTTGAAATTTACCCAATGGACTAATTCTTGAAGAGGCAATAGGCCCAACTCTGAGATGCTTAGACACTTAATGGCTTACTATACTTTTAGAAACCCTCATAAGCATTAAGCTGCATTTCTGAACCTAAACTTCAAAGCAGCTTTTATTCTTTTGGAATAAAAAGACAGAAGGTAATTTATTGCCATACAAGGCCAATCACAGCTAACTTATCTACAGTTAAATTTTATTGTAATGGACAACTGAACTGGAACATCAATGTCTCTATTTACTTATTATAATAATTTTAGTCCTTTTTTTCCTAACTAGAGAAGTTCTAGGTGTCACAAATCCAACAGTTGATTCTTTTGCAGACATAAAGAGGAGGGAATGAAATGTTCCCTTTTTTTCTGAGTCATCGAAAATAATTCAGTCAGGAGTTATGGTATACCATGGAAAAACTCTTCATTCCCAATTACAAAGCTTTATTTTCCTTTCCTATTTCAGAAAATATGGATTCTGTGAACTGTTCAAACATGCCAATAAACATCAACAACTTGTTTCATTTGAATTTCTCACACACTTCCAGTAAACAGAATTTCCTAACAATGAAAAAAAAAATACTGCAGTGTGATTAAGAGTTGGCCAAGAGAAACAAGTAATCAACCAAAAAATTGCCATAACCCAGACTTAAAGAATAACCTTGTATATTTTATAACATTAGCATTCCATCTATGATCACAATAAATTCTTATACTAGATGAATGTACTAGTATATGAATCGATATACTAACTCACTTCTACCATAACTGCAAATATATTATATTTTCAATAGTTTCTTCTTCCTTTGATGGTTGAATTTAAAACTGAGTTATAGTATTTAGCACTAAGTAATTTAGAAAATATAAAAAAGCTTTAAGGGAATGAAGTTGATTCATTTTTCTATATACCATTTGATTAAGTCTTTCAGGGACACTGTTAAACAGAAAATGTTTCTCAGTCACTGCTTTCTAGTCTCCTTACAGATAGATAATTCCCAAATTTCAGGTACACTCACATTCTCTCAGCGAAACTCTCAAGCTATGACCATATGGTAAAGTGCTTCATCTATTCTCTTTATGCAATGAGACCAAAAAGAGACTTGCCAAATCCAAGCCATCAAGTGGAAAAGTCAAGTCTTGAAAATAATCTCTCCTTTCAAGAAGCCTGAACACAGCCTATGTCCTTCTGTAATGAGCTTCAGTTTTCTTTTTGCAATACTAGGGATAGAACCCAAGACCTTGAGTATGCTGGGTCAATGCTCTGCCACAGAGCTACAACCAGTAGAGTGACAAGTCTTTAACCAGGAAGTATATATATAATATTATCACCAGGGGGTATAATTTATCTGGACACTATATCCTTGCCTCTGAGGACTGACTTATACACAGATCAAAGGAAGTTGGCTTTCCGGTCCCCTGAATCATAAATAATGTCTGTAACCATGGAGAATTTTGCCCAGATATGGCAGGGGCAAATGCTATGGTGTCATCTTGGGGACATTGATTTTAGCAGAACTCGCCCACACTGGGTCCAGGCCTTTGACAGGTTCTTCACTCCCATCCCCTTGGTTGGCAGTTGGTGAGTTGAATACTTTTGAATTCATTTTATAAACAGGACGTAGAAGGCCATTACAATGCAGGCTATTGCCACTGCAGCATGCAGCCTGGTTCCAATCACAGCAGCTAGCAGACAAAAATAAAGAGAGAAGAAATTACATTACATCCTGACCTTCATAAAAGTCTTTCTTTCAAAGTAATATTGTGAAAAGGTCAAGTGTTACAGATGTTACAGAGGAAGAGACCTACCTAGAATCTAGGAAGGAGGGGATAACAAGTTCGTGAAGAACTGTACTCACCACCTTACATATGTAACTGCAACCCTCTGTACATCACCTTGACAATAAAAGAATCTGGGAATCTTTTTTTAATATTACCCCTATAGGCTAGGTTTTATGTAAATACACCATTTGTTTTTATTTTATCCTATTTTGAAAAAGGATTCAGGTAGGAAGGATTCCAGATCAAATAAAACATAAAAATACATTTAAGTTAATGAAATTGTAACTTAATAGAGATTCCCATACTTGCTTTATAGAAAATTGAGGGGATAAAGTCAGTTGGAAAATACTACTTCCACTGAGGGAAGGGATTCCAGGCCCACCTAAAATTACTTCATTGTGTATAAACATGCCATCCCCTCAGACCCCCTCAGAAAGAGGGTCTGCTTTGAACTTAAGGTATTTCCTAGCCAGGCGCAGGTGGCTCACTCCTGTAATCCTAACTACTCAGGAGGCTGAGATCTGAGGACCGAGGTTCAAAGCCAGCCCGGTCAGGAAAAGTCCATGAGACTCTTATCTCCAATAAACCACTCAGAAAACTGGAAGTGGCGCTGTGGTTCATGTGGTAGAGTGCTGGCCTTGAGCTGAATTGCTGAGGGACAGCGCCCAGGCCCAGAGTTCAAGCCCCACGACCGACCAAAAAAAAAAAAAAGATATTTCCTCCTCAGTCTTCCCAGATTACAGATATGTAGCACCACATCCAACACTTGTATACTTTTGTTCTTTGCCCTGGGCACTGAACTTTTTTGCTCAAGGCTAGTGGTCTACCACTTGAACCACAGCTCTACTTCCAACTTTTTGGTGGTTAATTGGAGATACGAGTCTTATGAGCCAGGCTGACTTGGAACCATGATCCTCAGATCTCAGCTTCCTGAGTGGCTAGGATTACAGACCTTAGTCATCGGCATCTGCAACAATTATGTTTTAAGTAACAACAAATTTACAATTTACCTCCTCTCTTCATTTTGGAAATGATTATTTTACATTGAGATCTTTGATACGTGTCTTCATTTGCATACTCAGATTCCATCTCAGGGATTTTTTTTTCCCTAAAAGTGGGCCAAATACAATCCCAGCCTATTACATCTCTGGTTTATAGCATACTGTCCAGAGATGACATCTTCCCTCCCTGGCCAGACATGACCTACCTTTGTAAAACACACCCCAAACTCCTTTCTTCTCTGATAACAGCCAGGTTTTGAGACGAGGTACTTTCTTGAAGTAGGCACAGGTGCAAACAAAGAGCAAACCAAACACCAGAATCCCATCCAAGGAGTATACTGTCACAAAAAGAAGAAAACTTTTGGTGCTGATCTAGTTTAGGATAGGTGATCCTGCTGAGAATTCTAGGAAGGACAGAATGTATCACTATGACCATCTCAACTGGCAGTGCCAACATTTGACAGAGTACTGACAATGTTACTTTATTTTCCTCAAATTGCTGGCAGATATCCCCCTTACAACTTCACTGAACCCTTCCTCTCACCTTTCAAGACCTAGAAATACTGAGCAGAGTGTATTTGTTTATGTGGAATCAGCCTCCCAGGAATGACTAGTGCAAGCAATAGGCAGAAGAGGTGTTCATCTTTTTGTTTGAGCATAAATAAGTATTAGCAGGGCTAGGTGGAGCACACCTTATAATCTCAGCACTCAGTGGACTAAAACAGGAAGATCATGAATTTGAGGCCAGCTTGGGTTCCACAGCAAGGGCATTACTTAGCAAGACTTTGTCTAAAAAACAAAACAAGCTGGGCACTGGTGGCTCATGCCTGTAATCCTAGCTACTCTGGGGGCTGAGATCTGAAGATCACAATTCGAAGCCAGCCCTATCAGGAAAGTCCGTGAGATTCTTTGTTTTTTGTTTGTTTGTTTGTTTTTGTGTTTTTTTGGGTCCGGTCATGGGGCCTGAACTCTGGGCCTGGGCACTGTCCCTCAGCTCTTCAGCTCAAGGCTAGCGCTCTACCACTTGAGCCACAGTGCCACTTCCGGCTTTTTTCTTTTTGCTTATGTGGTGCCGAGGAATCAAACCCAGGGCCTCTGGCATGCAAGGAATGCGCTCTACCACTGAGCCACCTTCTCAGCCCCCAGTCCATGAGATTCTTATCTCCGATTAATTACCAGAAATCCAGAGGTGGCTCAAAGTGGTAGAGTGCTACATTGAGCAAAAAGGCTTAGAGACAGTGCCCAAGCCCTGAGTTCAAGCCCCACAGCAGAAAAAGAAAAGGAAAGGAAAGGAAAGGAAAGAGGGAGGGAGGAAGGGAGGGAGGGAAGGGAAAGAAGGAAGGAAGGAAGGGAAGGAAGGAACAACAACAAAAACCACACTTGTAGGGAACCAATGGCTCACATCCTAGCTACTCAGGAGGTTGATATCTGAAGATCTCAGTTCAAAGCCAGCCTGGGCTGAAAAGACCATGAGACTCTTACCTCCAATTACCCATCTACAAGCCAGAAATAGAGCTGCAGCTCAAGTGGTAGAGTGCCAGCCTTGAACAAAACAGCTAAAGAACAAGACCCAGGCTCCTGAGTTTAAGTCCCAGTACTCACACACATACACAAATGCACACAAACACACACACCAATAAATACATAAATAAATAAATAAACCACACTTGTAATCTTGGCACTTGGAGAAGAAGCAGAGGACCAGAAGTTCTATGTCAACTTAGGGCTACATAGGGAGTTTAAAGCCAGCCTTAGCTACATATCAATACCCATCTCACTCCCCTCCTCAGAACTACACGTGTTATTAATCACTCCAGCGATAAAGGAGAACTTGGTGTTTAGTCAAGTTTTTCACACCTGCATCTGTTAATAAAGAATATGTTAAGGAACTAAAACTTAATGGAAATTACCAGTTAGTATTCGTGACTTCAATTTTCCTATGTTTAGTTTATACTTTATGAATTATGAATATTGATAAACCAAACTTATGACAGAATAATAGTGTCCTTCAGAATAATAGTGTCCTTCCTTTCTTTCTTTTTCTTTCTTCCTTCCTTCCTTCTTTTTGTCTGTCTCAGAGCTTGAACTCTCCACTTCCAGCTTCCTGGTGGTTAATTGGAAGTTAAAGAGTCTCACGAACTTTTTCCTGACAGGGCTGGCTTGAACTGTGATCCTCAGATCTCAGCCTCTTGAATAGCTAGGATTACAGGTGTGAGCTACCAGTGCCAAAGCATAGTGGAAAGTTTTAAAGTCTTTTTTTTCTTCTCTCTCTCTCTCTTTTTTTTTTTTGCCAGTAATGGGGCTTGCCAGTAATGGGGCTTGAACTCAAGGCCTCACACTTTAGCTTCGCTGTTTTCCTCAAGTCTAGCTTCCACTTCAGGCTTTATGCTGGCTAATCGGAGGTAAGTCTCTTGGGTCTATCTGCCTAGGCTGGAAATGAACCTTAATCCTCATATCTCAGGAATAGAGGCCTGATCCACTGGTGCTCAGCTTGAACTTACGTATATAAAACATTACTATATCAGTAAGTAGTTATACAAGTACACAAAATGAATTGACTAGAGACAAAATTTATTCAGAAATTACTAAAACGCTCTTTTATTTCTCAAAATTATATTCTTCTTCTGAGTAATATATGTAGTATCATGAGATCTAAGACTACTCAGGAAGCTCCAAATAGTTATTGATCTAATCAATAAGTGTCCTTGGGACAACACTACCTCCCTTCCTTCAGTAAAACTCTCAAGAGATAGATACAGTAAGTTTTTTGTTTTTTTTTTTTGTCGGTCGTGGGGGCTTGAACTCTGGGCCTGGGCGCTGTCCCTCAGCTCTTCAGCTCAAGGCGAGCGCTCTACCACTTGAGCTACAGCGCCACTTCCGGTTTTCTGGTGGTTTATTGGAGATAGGAGTCTCACGGTCTCTCCTGCCCGGGCTGGCTTTGAACCGCGATCCTCAGATCTCAGCCTCCTGAGTAGCTAGGATTACAGGCGTGAGCCACCAGCGCCCGGCTACAGTAAGTTTTTATAAAGAATGATACCTTTCTGTGCTACTCTTTCTCTACTAAGTCTTCTTTTTAGAAAAATACCAAAATTCTCACAGGGAAATTTGGATCGTCGGTGCCAGAGGTATGGACAAGGTACTTTTGGACAAAAACATTCCTGTGCCCCTTAAAACTACATTGCCTAAAAGTCTTTGTCTTTTATCCTGTAAGACCGACTCTCAAAACCATAAAGGTGCTGCTTCCTACCCTTCCCAGGAATTCAGAAACAAACAACTACCAAAAACAAAAAAAAACCACTATGAAGTATTTGATGAAGTATTTGGTACAGCCTGCTACATTATTTAGAAAAGGCAACGTCTAATTTCATTCTTGGCTGTAGCAGCCAGGAGCTCCAGATGGGATCATCCTGCTAGGACCTTAGATTCAAAGAGGCTTTCTAAAACATGAGAGAGAGAGAGAGAGAGAGAGAGAGAGAGGAGAGAGAGGGAGAGAGAGAGAGAGGGGGAGAGGGGGAGAGGGGGAGAGAGAGAGAGAGAGAGAGAGAGAGAGAGAGAGAGGAGAGAGAGAGGGAGAGAGAGAGAGGGGGAGAGGGGGAGAGAGAGAGAGAGAGAGAGAGAGGAGAGAGAGAGGGAGAGAGAGAGAGGGGGAGAGGGGGAGAGAGAGAGAGAGAGAGAGAGAGAGAGAGAGAAGGCTTCGGGGAATTGAGGGGAGGTTTACATTTACCATCCCCTCCCAAGGTAGGGCATCCTCGGTGATTTCCCGGTCCAAAGCAATGAGCATGTTGGAGGCCGGGAGGAGAAGACTCTCCTCCCTGAGGCTAACCAGCACTAGTTCCAGGGTGCCTGGCTACCCCAAAGGGGCAGGACGAACTTCTAGGAATGGAAAGAGAAGGCCAGGGAGTAGGGATCAAACCTCGGGGTGCAGGCCCTGCACGGGTGACTAGCAGACAGGAGTTCGGGGCGCCGCAGGGGGAGATAGCTGGTAAGAGTTCGGGTCGCCCGGAGGCCCAGGGGGGCCGGGCTGGGAGGGGGCGGGGAGAGCGGCCACGTCAGTCCGGGCTCCTCCCGCCACGTTCCCCCACCCCTCCCGGTCCTTTTCTCCCACCATTCGCTTCAAGCCCTGGGTCTCACCGTTCGTCATGGCGGCTGGGCCCGGCCTGGGGAAGGGTCCCCGGGTTCGGCGGCGGGAGCGGCGAAGGCGGGGACACCCGGCTCCCGCTTGACACTTCCCGATCCGGCCGAAGCTACAGGCAGGAACCCTAACGCGCAAGCGCAAGGACAGAGAGGCGAGAGCCGAACGCAAGCAGGCATCGTAAGCGGATCGCCGAACTGGAGGAGGGGGTGGCGCGGAGGCTGCTTGCGTGCTGACGTAGGGCGAGGAGAGCTTAGTCTGTCGAAGCTTGCTGGGCGGTCGTCTCCACCGAGGCTCCTTATGGAGCCGGTGCTGGGATTTGGCCTGGCGGTGCCCCGTGTGTTGGAAAAAGTAAAGCTTGGGGTTTACCGCACTGGACGTGTATAGGTTTGCAATCAACAGTCCACCTGCCTCGCAGAGGGTTGGTCATCTCAAGCTTCCATTTAAGAAGAGCAGGAGAATCTTGCTTCCTCTTTCCCTGTTTGGATCCCTTGATGTTTGCATCTTGTCTTATTGCTCTAGCTAGACATTCTAATACTGCATTGAAGAGGAGTGGAGAGAGCGGACATCCTTGTGTCTCTCCTGAATTTAGAGGAACTGGCTTTAGCTTTTTGCCAGTGAGTACAATGCTGGCTGTAGGTTTGTCATACACAGCCTTTATTACATTGAGGAATGCTCCATGGATTCCTCGCTTCTGATTTCTTTTGTGTTTCCCCCGCTATGGTTTATCCCCTGTTGTCACTGTATTTGATTTTGGTGCCCTGGGTATTGTATATACATTTATCTGAATTAGGAAAGGGAAGGGGAACTAAAAAAAAAAAAAAAGTTGAGACAAAGGACAAAGGGGGAACCAATGCAACAATGATACAAGACAATACGTTGGAAATGATCTGTACAACTTGGGGGGGGGGAGTGGGAGAAAATGAAGGAGGGGGTAACAATTTCGACAAGAAATATACTCACTTCCTTACTTATTTAACTGTAACCTTGATAAATTTTTTTAATAAAGAGAGCAGCAACACCAGGGCTCAAGAATCAGGCATTGTCCATAGTTGACTCCATCCCCCACCTTATATTCCCCAGGCCTTCAGAATAAAGCCCATTTCTGTCCAAGATAAAAAGCAGAACTGGCCTATTTCCCAATAGGCTCAGGTGCTAAAATCAGATACAATGCCAAGAGAACATACTGAAGAACAAAGCTGAATCTTAAGGAATTCCATATGAGGCAGAACACAAATTTATGCTATAGCACTGTCATTATCATCCTATCAGAACAAATCGGAAATGTCACCACTATGTGGATAATTGGACATCTTTTCCATGCCTTCTTTTCCATGCTCTGCCTTAGTTGAGTTCAGTAATAAGTGAAGCTGTTGGTTGAGGAGGGAAAAGCAACGGTATCACTTAGAAGCTCTGGGAATGTCCTTCTGTGTGGCTCTTTGTCTTGCTGAGAATGAACTTTCTGAATGAAATAAGGACTTAACTAAAAGCACAGTTTTCAGACCCTTAAATTTCAGATCCTTAAATTCCCTGCTAAGGGAAACATTATGATTATTGCCTGATTCTTTGAATGGCTTTTTTTTCATTTTCTTAAACTATCAGGATAGTTTCAATTATCTTCTATATTTAAATCATGCTGGGGTCACCTAAGGCACTTCAGCCAGAAACCTGCCATATCTGGACAGTGCTTTTTCTGAAGACACCTCTGACAAGGTGACTTAAGACAATATCAACTTAGGCTGGTCTCCAGTGGCTTACACCTGTAATCCTAGTTACTCAGGAGACTGAAGTCTGAGGATAACAGTTCAAAATCAGCCGGGGCAAGAAAGTCCATGAGGCTCTTATCTCCAATGAAACAGCAAAAATCCAGAAGTGAAGATGGGGCTTAAGTGGTAACAAGTAGGGTGGAGAAGACACAGCTACAAATTCTATTTTGTAAACTGAAATCTTTAATTGTATACAACTTGGTCTGCTTTATTAGGGTTTGGATGAAAGTGTGACATTGAGTTCTAGGAGTTTGAAATTGCCAAATTACCCATCCACTATGGTAATGTAAGACGTAAGTGACTCAGTTTATCTCTGCTGCACTGCCCTCTTCTGGCTGTGGACTGTTTGATTACTTAGAAAAGAAAAAGCTGTCTGAGCTGCTCCTGGAAGATAGGTCAGCCAAAAAGGTCTGATGCAGGACAGACCCCTTTGAGAAAATATACTTAAATGCAGAAGCCAACAAAATAGAAATATATGTATGGGACAAAAATCTTTAGACCAGACAACCACTCAGATTATAAATGCACACACATACACACAGGCAAATCCCTCTTCCACTCAAAAGAATTGTTCAGGATTACTCTGCTGAGGCAAGAGGCTTGTGAGTTCGAGGCCAGAAGTTCAAGACTAGCTTGGGTTACATAGCAGATCCTGTCTCAAAGACAAAAAAAAAAAAAAAAGAAAGAAAACCAAAGGAATAAAAATCCATGTTGTCTAGGCCTGTTATAAACTATTATCTGTTTACTTTTTCTTCCCCTAGTGCTAGGGATCAAACCCAGAGTCTTGCAGATGCTAAGCACGTACTTTACCATTGGGCTAGATCCCCAGGCCAGCTGTCATTGAGGACATCAGCAGTGTTTCACCATCACTAGAAACTGAGTTTCCAGTTCTTGCAAACCCCAAACCATGCTAATAAGCTCCTAAGCAAATTCATGTTTACTACTTTATACTGAATCACAAAGGTCATCTCTGTCTTAAGAAATCGAGGAGGTGGTTGAGTTCAGAGCCTTGCACTTTCACTCTGCTTTTTCAGCTTGCCACCAGTGCTCTACCACTTAAACTACATCTCAAGTCCAGCTTTTTTTTTTTGTTGTTGTCTAGTCATGGGGCTTGAACTCAGGGCCAGGGTGCTGTCCCTAAGCTTTTTCACTCGGAGCTAGTACTCTTCGACTTTGAGCCACAGGGATACCTCCAGTTTTCTAGGGATTAATTGGAGATAAGAGTCTCAGGGACCTTCCTGCCTGGGCTAGCATTGAACTGCCATCCTCTGATCTCAGCCTCCTGAGTAGCTAGGATTATAGGGGTGAGCCACTGGCACCCAGCTAATCCAGCTTTCTTGCTGATTAATTGGAGATGAAGTCTTGCTGAGTTTTCTGCTTAGGCTGGCTTTGATCTGTGATCCTCAGCTCTCATCCTCCTGAGTAGCTAGGATTATAGGCGTGAGCCACTAGCACCCAGTTTCTATTTCATGAATATTGTGTAAATTGTTCTTTATTCTTGTTCTACCTAAATGAAGATATTTTGAAGACACATCATTTTTCTCATTATCACACTATTGGTGACTAATTCTGCTCTGTGGTTTCATTTATCACCTTAATAAAGAGTTTATAATTTGATATTCTATTTGAAGAGACAACAAAGTTCTAAACTTAAAAAAATGTTCAATGAGGGCTGGGAAGGTAGCTCAGCGGTAGAGCGCTTGCCTTGCATGCATGAGGCCCTGGATTCGATTCCTCAGCACCACATATTTGTCTGCCATATACTGGGAACTTGTTAGATGTCGCAGGGGGAAAAAAAAGTGCAAAAAGGGGGCTGGGAAGGTGGCTCAGTGGTAGAGCACTTGCCTCACATGCATGAGGCCCTGGGTTCCATTCCTCAGCACCACATACACAGAAAAAAGCTGGAAGTGGGCTCTGCAGCTCAAATGGTAGAGCACTAATCTCGAGCTGAACAGCTCAGGGACAGCGCCCAGGCCCAGAATTCAAGCCCCATGACCGACAAAAAAAAAAAAAAAAGTGCAAAAAGTACCTGCCCTCAAAGAACAAAATATGTTGAGTAACATAGCTGAATAAACAAATTTTAAGGGGCTGGGAAGGTGGCTCAGTGGTAGAGTGCTTGCCTTGAATGTATGAGGTGCTGGGTTCGATTCCTCAGCACCACATAAGCAGAAAAAAAAAAGCCAGAAGTGGCACTGTGGCTCAAGTGGTAAAGCGCTAGTCTTGAGCTGAGGAACAGCACCCAGGCCCAGAGTTCAGGCCCCATGACTGGACCCCAAAAAATAAATAAACAAATAAATTTTAATAGAATATATTATGTTCATAATACAGAATACATAATAAAATACTTTGTATATGTAAAGACGTTATCTTTGAGTTTGTAAAATATTTTTAACACCTTGTCTTTTTTTGGTTTTGAGATTGTGACTAGAACTAGGTACCTGATGCTCTTACTCATTGGCTAGTGTTCCCAACCCCCACAAAAATGGTATATCCTAGGGCTTAAACTCAGAGCTTAGGTGTTGTCACTGAGCTTTTTTTTTTTTTTTTATTAAATGTTAGTGTTCTACCACTTGAACCACAACTCTACTTCCAGCCTTTTTTGATAGTTTATTGGAGACAAGTCTCATGGATTTTCCTGCCCAGGCTAGCTTTATATCACAATCCTCAGACCTCAGCCTCTTCAGTAGCTAGGATTACAAGCATAAGCCCACATACCCAGTTTAAAACATTTTTGCGGGGGAGAGGGCATGGTTTCGAGATTAGGAATTGAACTAGGTACCAGATGCTCTTGTTCACTGGATAGTGCTCTACCAACTAAACCATGTCTCCAACCCCAGAACATTTTTTTGTGGGTTGTGGGGCTTGAACTCTGGGCCTGGGCACTGTCCCCCAGCAATTCAGCTCAAGGTTAGTGTTGTACCACATGAGCCACAGCGCCGCTTCCTGTTTTCTTAGTGGTAAATTGGAGATAAGAATTTTGCAGACTTTCCTGCCTGGGCTGGCTTTGAACCATGATCTTCAGATCTCAACCTCCTGAGTACTTAGAATTACAAGCACAAGCCAGCTTCCCAGAACATTTTTTAAAATGAAAAAATAAAATGAGAGGCTCAAAGAGAGATGGGTGAAATCCTGTAGCTATTTGGATCCACAGCTAAGTGTCTTACTTCAAAACTCTCCTTAACTTGTTATCACATTGCCTCAAATTTCTATGTTTTGCACTGCACTGATACTGATCTTTGATTATTTAATGGCTAACACTGACATTTCTATCCCACTAAAGTCCCAGAACCTCCCTGCCCTCCATCTCCTGAAGGCATTTCTCAAAGCAAGCCAAAGCTTGGGGCACTGGCTCTTGGAGCACAACTGTGGAATAAATAGA